TGCGATCCATGAGAATTGTATATTGAAACTAAATCTTTTGCTTTCTATGGTCTAGGCGTTACTACGTTACATAGTTTGCTASTACAATTGTGCAAATTACTACAAAGTATTATTGTAGCTTATCGATGTTTCCTTTTCGAGATAATATTTCTAGAAACCCCCCACCAAGGTGRCAGACGGGAGTTTTTGTAAATATGTAGTACTGTACTATATGGGTAAATATATGTAATAATAAACAGTGTCGATCTYGTTTTCTTGAGCTCAGTTGTTTTTCCTGTTATAATCGGCTCCTGTTCATAGTCCTGGTTCTGTTTTTTCATGTTCGTGAAAGATGCTTACAACGTGGGGCTGAAGTGAATTGAAAACAATAGAAAAAATAACGAATGGAAAAAAGGCCAAAGGGCCCTGGGGCAAATATCTTGGGATTCCATTCAAATGTATTCGAGAAAATTTCTTTTCTGTAGACGACAATTTATTGCTTTTTGTTAAATTAATTATAAGAGATATTATACTTCCGGTTTTAGTCGAAAAAGCAAGTATTCGTATTTGATAATGAAAAAAAWTTTCATTATAACTTATTATCGACATTCGAAATTCCCGAAAATTCAGCAAGTTAATATTGTTATTGGACAAAATAGTTATACAAATAGTAATTAGCTTAATTGCTTTTTTCCAAACATTAGTTGAAAAGTGAAATGACACTTCAAAATAAAGAAAAGATGTGATGCACTCTGAGATGAAAAACTGGAAATGTGTAACATTTGGTAAAATGGAGTACTGATTTTGACTACCGACTCATGTCAGGAAAGCACTTGATTTGAAAAGTACTAAAATTAAAAAATAAATGATATATTTGTTACAGGGGTTCTTGTCTTGTAACTCAGGTGGGATTTACTCAGGAAGAGCCGGTACTGGATCAAAATATATTTAATACGAAACTTGAAAAAGATGTTGTATGCACTGAGTTTAGCTACCAACTATCGAACGTAAAGCCAACTAAAGAACCAACTAACCAACTAAGTCTATCTGAAATTGGTGTAATATTAGACATGTGGGGATATCCTAGATGAAAATGTGGGAACTGAAATAAGGTGTCTTGTAGCCTCGTTATTCTGTCAAACCTATAGTTCTTATCTGACAGCTTAATGGAATATTCAAAATTAAATAGAAGAAATTAAAAGGAAGTGACAACTAAAGAGTCACAAGCTGTAACTAGACTTTGGTCTAGTTAGGGGTACACAACGCTAAGTAAGACAGTATAGAAAACCTATGAAAATCATAACCTAAGTTATGTTCGAGATACATATATTGAAATACTAGTAAACGTTAAACAACTAAACAAAACGTGATATGTATACGAAACAGATGTCATATTTTATATCTAATCAAAATTATGTCAAAATAAATATAAGYTCTATTAATACAAGAACGCAGGTGGAAATTTATGGTAACCTAGGGAGTAACTTACTAGAAAACGTTCATGAATATTAATTTACTAATTTTGTTTTTATAACATATTGTCTTCTTTACTAAACTGTGTCTTTAACATGCAGGTATTTTTATAGGACGAATTCCGGAAATGAGAAAACAAGCGATTGATACATGTTCATCAGAAATCTTCTCGATAGTTCCTGAATTMAAAAGAATTTTTTTCCGTAAATAAAATTCAATCTAACGTTTTAAATTCAACGATGACGTACATGTGCCTTTTAAGTGTTTAAAAAAAATAAAATGAATAAATAAATTAAMAGTGACAATGGTAAAGCACACGTATTTATGACACAGTACTGCAACAGGAAGAACTACGTCACGATATCACTTGAACCAACGCTGGGCAGGCTATTTTACTATCAAGTGCGATCTGGTAAGTAAGCGAGTATTCTTCTTGTATTCTTGGCGTTTTATCTTCATTTGTTATTTTTATTATTAGTTACTTTCTAACCGCCCTGTATGCCAACTGCCCGGCATGTAGAGAGGCAAAAATTGCAAGAAGACCTCCTTTTAATGTTTTTGATACAACTAACATACATAATTTTTAAGCTTGCTCAGTAGAAAAGATGTTTTCTATATTTTGCTCATGCGCTCACTTAGTTAGTTCCTAAAAATTGCGAAGAAATTTGCTGAAGGGATGATACACAGTACGATGGAATTGCCCTAGTTCATTATGACGTCACATCAAAACATTTTATTGTTTTAAC